TGGGGGCGATATGCTGACTCTGTAAACCACTTAGAGAGGGCTGAAAGCCCTATGAAGCGGTATATAAGTCTAACTGCTATTGCTGTTGCTATTGTAATCTCTGCAATGCCCATTTCTTTAAGTGAAGCTTCAGGAACACTGTTTCTGGCAGATTCCTTCTATCTATTCATAAAGTTGAACCTTGGGGTTTTTGTAATTAAAGCATGTAGTTTATAACAGTTCAAGACAATAGCTTTATATATATATATATACACATACATACACACACACACACACATGGAATTAAATGAAATGTCATGCTCATTAAGCAAGCTGAAGATGGAACATGTGCAAACAGATTCCGACATTTTCCTATATTTTCAATGATTTACTTTTATAATTTAAAGTATAATACAGGTCTTATTGCTATCTTTTAACTGTGTATGTGTGTAAAGCTATGTGTTTTTGAATTGAGAGCATGAATTAACTCATTCTACATATTGATAGCAATATGACCACCCAAAGCTTAGGATCTTTTTGAAATGCTTCTAACAGTTCATTTAAAAACAATGAAGTGCCACATATGCCTTCAGTTGACTAATAAATATACTGCTTTGTCCTAAAACTATTTTTATTTGAACTTCTAGTCTCTAAGAATATTGTTGTATTGTGATATTTTCTTCAAGCATAGCAATCTTTATCTATGCTGCCTGAAAATTAGGTCCATTAAACATAAAGTGACTTTCTCTGACATGAATAGCTGTTGAATTTGTTTTGAAAGCAAAAGCAGAAGAGGGCAGTAGTGCACAAGGCATTTTTTTCTCTCTACAGGTGTGGAACATTCTTGACTGATAAGAATAAATTTTCTTTATTATCCTTCTGGTTTACCTAAGATGATTTATGGTGCTCAGCATGGGATTCCAGCACCTGGCAATATCTGTTGCTTGTTGTTGTGGGTTCACAAGTTTTTTTTGTTTTTTTTTGTTCAAAATGATCTTGACAAAAAGTACTTTTTATTTCCTTAATCCCAAAGAACTTGTTTGTACAAAGGGTTCAGTGCAGTAGCAAACTTTACGTCTCTCTCTCTCCCTCCCTCCCTCCCTCTCTCTCTCTCTCTCTCATACACACACACACACACACACACACACACACACGGGAAGAGGGAGAGACGGGAGGGAGAGGAGAGAATTCATAGTACAATTGGCGGTACTTTTCTTAATAAAAGAAACAATTAGCATATGTTGTGAACAAGTTACTAGATAGAGTGTGACATAATAAAATTGGGATACAACTGCAGTGTTTGAAGAGAAGTGGTACCAATGGTATATCTCCTTATGAAACTATCTTCAACTTGAAGGCAATGTAAAAAAACAGGAGCATCTTGCAATAGAAGGTTCAGCAAATTCAAGTCCCAATTTCTGCATGGCTAAAAGAGAACAGTTCTGATTCAAAATGTTTTGCTTCACACCAATATAAAATTTTGCAGTTTCTTGCACAGAACACAACTTAGCTACAGGACATAATCTTTCTCCCTGACAAGTAGCGCTCTAGAGATTTTCTCCTGGATTTTTTTTTTTAAAAAAAAACACTATTACAAAAGCAACTTTTGCCTCTTTCATACCTCCCTTTTAACGTAGACAGGTGATTTTATCCCTGGAATTAAATAAAGAAATCAAAATTATGTTGACATATCGTCAATTTCTGGTAGCATTCTTATCCGGGTTCAGGTTTCTTTTTTAATTGAAGGCAGAAATGAATGGATGTATTAAAAAATGTGCACCACTTCGGTAGCATTTGCAGCAAGTATTCGGCAAACAACATTAGATAAGTGTTTTGAGAAATGCAGGACACTGCCGAAATGCCATTCTTTTTGTCTGTGGTTGTATGTACATGGATTGAGACTGATTTGTGCAGCAATTTGAGTGGCTGCTTCTCTCATTTTTCCTTCAGACGGAACACATGTTGCTGACCGATCAAGGGGCCTCAGCCTTTGCTAAGGCTATGGGGGTCCCTGAGGTTCCCGGAGAAAAATTAATCACGGAGCGGTCGTTGGAGAGGTGGAAGAAAAACCTCGAGGCTGACTGGAACCCTCAAGAATGTCAAAAGTAACTATCCGCTATTGGCTTTTTGTCTGCTTGAATGGAGAAAATTAAATTAAAGAGAGCAATAAACCCACATAATTTCTCCCCCAAATTCCGAGGGCGTATTCTCTGTGAGCTGCTGGAAGCTGCTGCAAGAAGTTTCTCCTGCTCTGCTCTCAACTTTTTGTGTCTGTGGTCTGGGGAAACAAGAAGCTGGCTGGAGCAAGATCTCAAAGCCTCAGCTCACACCTCGTAGCACGAGAGTGACAGGCAGAAGAAGTGCAGTGAAGAACGCCAATGTTCTCTTTGGCTGATGTAGAAGAGGCTCAGACCTGTGGCTTTGGCGATACAGGTTGAGAGAGGGCTGCCCCTTCCATTGTTGTAGCATCGCTTTGGTACCGTTTAAAATGAAAACCATGGCTGTGTACCTGGTGGGACAGACTGGATAGCAGTTCCTAGCTTTGCACTGGGACATTGTTGCTGTCAGGCCTGCAATTATATTCTTTTTAGAATTTTGGCCTGCCACACTTTCTCTTATTTCATTAT